TTCAGGTTCCATCCCAAAAGGGAAATATCACCTGGTTTGACCAAAAAGTGAAGAAAACCAAGCGGAGAATGATTTTACCTATCAGGGTCCATGTAATGGGATGTTGGGATGATGGTCACATGACCAATTACCAAAAATGGTCAAAAACAAAAGTTGTAGCCCTACACTGTAGCTTCCTGAATCTGTTTGAATTATGTTCTGAAGTGCTCCCATTGTGGAGATATGAGGTAAAGGAATCCCAAAAGTGTCGTGTTTTTTTTTGTTTTTTGCATTTTTCTCCATGAAAACAAAACCAAACAATATGATTTCAGTATATTTAGAAAGCTAAAAGAAAGGGCTACAACTATTGTATTGTGGGAAAAATGACCAAAAAAGGAAGGTGCATGCCCTAGAAAAGGAATGGTCAGATATAGACTACCAAGTTTACTGATAGACTACAAAAAAGTCGGACTCAACTACAAAGTTTACTGATAGACTACATAAGACTACAAAAGTCGGACATAGACTACAAATTTTACTGATACACTACAAAAGACTACAAAAGTTGGACTTAGACTACAAAGTTAGCGTTAGGGCTAAAAGGTTATCCAAAGTCAACCTAGCCCATCCATCCCATACATGGCACATATTTGATGCGGAAATGGCCGGGGAATATACAGATACATTGCAGGGACTCTATTCCATGTCTGGTTTGAGGAATCATATGCAAAAGAGAGCATGAGAGCCTTTAGAAAAGGCACTTTTTTAGACTACAAAAGTTTGTAGTGTCTGCTTTTGTCATCAGAAAAGTTTGTAGTGTCCGCTTTTTAGACTACAAAAGTTTGTAGTGTCCGCTTTTTTATTGGAAAAGTTTGTAGTGTCTGCTTTTTCATTTGAAAAAGTGTGTAGTGTCCGCTTTTTTAGACTACAAAAGTTTGTAGTGTGCGCTTTTTCATTAGAAAAGTTTGTAGTGTCCGCTTTTTGAGACTACAAAAGTTTGTAGTTGACATGTAGGTTATGGTGTCCTTGGCCCTGTCTAGGTTATGGGGATGAGGTTGAAGGATTGACATGATCTTACATATTGCCAGTGCTGCAGCATTAGTTTTTGACATCATGCACAAGTTGTCTTTCACATTAGGAAAGGCTATTCTAAGCTTTTCATATTGATACCTACTGTCCTATCTCAAAACATAATAAGTTCATGTGGGGATATGGCTGAAGGATTGCCATGACTTTACATATTGCTATTGCCACATCATC